CTGTATGCACTACATAATATAATGCTGTGTGTAAACATTTAAATTGTAAGCTCACCATTACGCGTTGACATTCATGACGCCCTTTCCAGATCTAGGTCCTCAGCATCCATTCAAATCGTCGTCCTATGTTAGCTGTACTTTATTTCACTTTACTTCAATACATTCGCGATCGTGGTTGTTTTAACGCTTAAAAGGTTGCGTCACTCTGAGGTACTGAAAAAAATATAAAAAATTATTAATTTTTTTTTAACGTAACTATAAATTATGGACAATTTTCTTTATTTATAATGTTTAGAGTACATGGTCTGAAAACAATTTTTTGAAAATGACCTTAAAAAATATTAAAAGTCTAACGTGCATTTTAGACTGCTTGAAACAATTGAGGAATCTCATGGAATGAATTAAAAAAAGAACACTTAAGAAATCTTTAAGGAACAAATATTCACACAATAGTTATTTAGATATCTAACAGATAATTACTTGAAGGAGCGATCCTCTGATTATTTCAAGCAAATTATTTTGATGGACAGTACAAGTGCAAAACCCTACACTGAAAGAAAAATGTTTTATATTTGTGACTGTAATTGTTTAGTGGAATTATAGCTGAGAAATGTTTGTAATAACAGTCATTTTTGTAGAAATACTACAGTGTTATCAATAATAATCTTGTTACTACTATTATCTTTTCGCTGGAGTAACAGAAACATATGATTATAGCGCCAACAATAACTAAACTTCAGTGGCGTAGCCAGAAAACAGTTTCGGGGGGGTTGTACTTTTTATTTTTGACAAGCAAAAAAAGGTCATTCGAAAAAATTTTTCTCATAGTTAGCGTAACCCAAAAAATTAATTTCGGGGGGAGGCTGCAACCTCCTCAGCCCCCCGGCTACGCTACTGCTAAACTTTGTAATGAAATGATCCGTTTTCTCTTTCTCTGTGTATGCAAAAAGCTATAAGTAAATCATATTGATTTTTTATAAATGTCGATCAGTGACAGACTCATTACCTTAAATCTTGCATTCGTTTTTTGACAAAATATTAAACACTCGGGATTGGTTACATGTTGTTACAAATCTGAAACAAAGAAAGAAATATAGTCAACAAATATCGTCGGTTAGACATTAGAGTCAATGGCTTAACGGATAGAATATATATAAATATACGTATTAACTTTTTGCGGTTGTTGTAATTCAACGAGTTTATTTACTTCGACAGTCACACTTTTCAATTTTTGATTACAAAAGGTTAAATTTAAGAGAATACGAGAATTCTGTAAACTCACCTTCGAACCGACCCTGCTCAGTCTGATCCGGATTCTTCGACATAGCGTTCGTATTCATCGAAACAGCACTCTTGGGAATCGTATCTATTCTGGATTAACACTCTGTGGCAAGTCTAAAACAAATAAATAAGTTTCCCGGTTAATCATGTCGATGAATGTCAACGTATCAGAGCTACAGAGGCACGCGCTTGAGATTGTACATTTCGTTTAAATTAATGAAAACGAGAAACGACAGTTATCCTAAAGGAGAATTCACATCTTGGCAGAAAAACAGAAAACAGAAAGACACAAGTGAATCAGAACTCATGATGGTCAGGTAGCAATCGATAGTATCTGCTTTTCTACCAGCGCGAATTTTGATTGGCTTTTGGTTTTCTATTTTCTACTTTTCTGTCAAAATGTGAATTCTCCTAAGAATTTAAAATGCTGTTGCTACTATTTAAGACAATTATGTATGCGATGATCGATTCGGAATTATCGGGAATTACGCACATCTTCCGATTTGTTTACTCTATAGATTTATATATATAAACCACATTTTCTTATAAACGTTTTGAAAATAAGATTTGAAGGACAACTACTGTTCTCCTTCTACTGTTCACAGGCATGTCATCTTTGTTTAGCTTGATTCTTAGTGAAGAAAGCTAAACAAAATATTCAACAAAAGTCAAACTAGATAAGGATGATATATAAATGGTAAAAGGGGAATATAGCTATCCTTCAAATCTTATCTTCGAACCTCTCATAAGAAGGCGAAGAGTCTATATAAATATGTAAGTCTATGATTTACCTTCGCATCTAGAACTATTATGATAGTTCGGCAAGATAAGTACATAAAAAAATATAATTTTGCTACTGAGAAAAGCAATTGTTTATTTATTTTATTTTAACTAATGGTTATCTTTAATACACAAAGAATATTTTCTCTTGATCATAGTTTTTAAATATATTCGTCACAAATTAGAAAAAAACTTATCATATATTCAAGAGAAAAATTTATTCATTTTACAAAAATATTATAAAACTTTATCAAAGAAAAATTTGTTTCTATTCTATGTAATAAGTAAACAGAATTTTTGTTTTAATTTAATATATTTGATTGAAATATTATAAATTTATAGAATATTTGAAATAATTAACATTTATTTGAATACAGTATGTATTTATATATATATATATATATATATATATATATATATATATATATATATATATATATATATA